GGAGCTGCAATATAAAAACATAGTAGAATATTTTATAGATTATAAATGAAAAATCTCTTTACCCTACTCCCACACCTAAACATACCGATTTTATAGACAATATTAAAGGGATAGTTCACTTTGAAATTAATTTTTGATGTTTTAGCTTACCTCAAGGGCATCCAAGATGTAGGTGTCTTCTTTTCCACAGTATTTTCAATTTTGACATTTTTCGGTCAAACCGTTGTTGTCTGTCAGTCATATAATGCAGGTATGGGGGTCCACGTCAAAGAGCATGCACAGAGAAGTCCAAATTAAACATGATTTAATGACTCGTAAATGTAAGTACACATTGATGGCCTAAGACACGAAACGAGCGTTTTGTGTGAGAAAACAAACAGTATTTATATAGTTTTTACCTCTTGTTCACAGCCATGTCAAACTGATCTGAATCAGATGTCAAACTGAACCGAACCGTGTCCAACATTACGCCAGAAGTGATCTCTCGCGCGTCAGCAACATCTGATTCAGATCAGTTCGACATGGCTGTTTACAAGAGGTAAAAACTATATAAATACTGTTCGTTTTCCCACCCCCTCCGCTCATTTCGTGTCTTTGGCCATCAGTGTGTACTTACATTCAAGAGTCATTAAATCATGTTTAATTTTGACTTCTCTGTGCATGCTCTTTGAGGTGGACCCCCTAAACCTGCATTATATGACTGACAGACAACACAGGTTCGACCAAAAAATGTCAAAGTTGAAAATACTGTGGAAACAAAGACACCTACATCTTGGATGCCCTTGAGGTAAGCGAAAACAAATCAAAAATTAATTTCAAAGTGAACTATCCCTTTAAAAGGATAAAGCGTAATGAACATAATGTGTAGGGCAATGGCAGTTTTATTAACAATAAAGCATTAAAATATAGTTTGAGCCACTAATCCTACCCTAACCCATTTCTTAAAACTATGTAACTAACGTTACAATTATAAATAAAAACAACAAACATAACGTTACATGTTTAAATCGCAATAATTTATTTAGTGAGAAAATGTCAAAACCGGTACCAAATAAATATCTTTCTTCTTGTTCAGCAGAAGAAAAAAATTCATAAAAAAACAACAACATATTATTGCAAATGAACAAAGTTGAATCAAATATGTTTCTAGAACAGTGATTAAAATTGGCTCGAATATGTTTTAGTATGTGACATGAACTCTGGTGTTGATGCACTCTAAAAACATTTAATATGATTTACTAACCTTTTTAAACTTAGAATATTGATTAAATTTTTAAGCAGTGAAAGCAATTACTTACACTGTATTAACTGAGTAAATGTTAGTAAAACAAATTAAATAGATCTGAGTAACTGCATTTGGTACATTAACAAATAAACTTGAGTAGAAATAATTGGGGGAAACATTTAAAAACAAATAATTATGAGTAATATAAACTGTGTTTATATGGCAGTAATATTAACTTTTTTTATTTCCTCTAAACCTTTGTAAAATATTCCATACAACCACCAGCATAACTACATGACACGGCCTTTATTGTCAATTAATATCCTAACATTACAGCAAACATATTTTATTCTATTTTTAACACATAAGTTGTACAATATTGACTACATCTAAACTCATGTAAGAAACATTTTCGATGTAAAAATTAAACATTTAGGCCTAAACATTAAAGTAATTCAAGTGTAATAACCGGTCTGTTATCCAGTATTCACCGGGTCAGCGCTGGTTCCCATGCCGGAGATGGACTCGCCTCTGCGGGGAAACTTCTAAATTTAGACCGCCGTCCTGCGTCACTCACAGCCGAAAAATGCTGCGACGCGACTGACTCCATAACCTGCCAATAAACAACCAGTGCACAGTTCTGAGGACATTTTATCATCCAAATTAGTTATATCCATTATCTTTAAGAATATAGTCGTGTGTTTTTTTTTATGCAAGGCCTTACAATCACGCGAAAAGGCAGGCGCAAGTCGACACTCGTTTAAGGTGAGTAACATTGCGTCTCTGTATGTTCTTTTTTCATTAAATAAAATTATTTAAAGCATATTAATGATTATACAGATAAAATAAAACAAACAAACCTTAATGTCAGGTGGAAATGCTCCAATTCTGCGCCGATGAGAAGAGAAGAGGAGAAGAGATCTGTTCTTTTCTGGACTGGGAGAGTTCAAACAGCGCGCAACCGCAACCGCAAGTTCAAACAGCGCTCACTCAAGTTCAACCGTTGAGTTGTCGTCACGTCAGAGGGTGGGGAGGGGTGCGTTGTTGTAATCATAGACAGTAAAATACATTTTAATTGAGTAAACTTAATTAATTTCTTATGCGTGTTAAATAATAATATTGATTTTATTTTAGAAATATTTGTGGTTCTTGAGACAGATCAGTTTAATTATCCAGTCTCAAATATTGAGATGGAAATTTCACAAATATTAGCTAAGTGTATTTTAAATTAATAATTGGTTAGTCAAAAACTAAATTAGCCTATTTTAGTGAAAAACTTAAATATAACTGTAAATTTCAGACAAAATTAATTGTTGGAGTTTTAGTCATTTATTTCGGTTTGTTCAACTCAAACTATTGAGTAAATTATATTCAGTTTAGTTAATAAAGACTTCAACACTTCAACATTTAGGAAAGTTTTTTGTTTGTAGGTTGTACCATAGTAGTACTGTGATAAAGTTTAGAGAAATTGTCACAAATGAAAATGAAATCGATGCAGGATATAAAATGAAAACTATTGATATGTGAAATATGGAACTGCATCTTGTAGAACACATTCTAATAAAAATAATTTTGTAATTAAAATGTGTGCTTGCGTGTGTGTAGTTTAAATGTTGTGTTTTTAATCTAAGACAGATTATACAGTATGTAACCATGACTGATACAGGCATAGGCCCCTCGACTCAGTGCAGTCAATAAATCAATCAGTAGGCTGTACTTCCCTCATGCTGGTTCTTATCTTGTCCTCTGTTTATACACATCCATGCTGGAAATTCATATTAAATTTGCATTTTTTTGTTTTTACTTCATGAAAATCTATATTGCTTTAGTTGTTTGTAGAACACATATTACATAATATGATTAAAAATACATTAATATTATGCAATTTATATATGTGGTTTTTGCATATGTCCCTTACAATATTCTGTTGGAACATATACAAATCACAGGAGTTTTTAGCAAACCTTTTCCATATGGGAAGGTTTTAAAGTATATTATTGTTAAACACCATGTAGGCTAATGCTTCAAAGCGAGTTTGCAGCAAAAGGCACGAACAGAACGAAATGTTAGGTTTCACTTTATTTGGATGGTCCCTTTAACACATTCAGTTTACTATAAGTCACGTTGTACCTACATCTCTACTAACTCTCACTAGAGTGTTAGTAGAGTATTAGTAGACTGGTAGGGTTAGGGTTAGAATAAGTTGGCATGTAGTTGCAAAGTTACTTATAGTCAGTAGATTGTCTGTTGGAGGAGCATCACAATAAAGATTTGGCAAATATTAAGCTGACCGTCTACTAATACTCTAATGAGAGTTAGTTGACATGTAGTTGAAAAGTTACTTATAGTCAACAGAATGTTCAAAAGGGACCATCAAAATAAAGTGTTACCAAATGTTATTATTTATGAGTAACGTTAAACTATTAATAAATGAGACTGAAAATTTAATTGATAAGACAATTGAATGCAATAGAGTCAAAACCACGATTTTAATATGCATAAGTTAAATAGGAATACATATAAATTTGTATGTTGGTAAAGTTGTTTATACGTAAATAAATTACGTTTTTTGTTTGTTTGTTTTTTTGCTGTCATGTCATTGTGAGTTGTTGTGAGTTGGGCATGTTGGCCTGCAGTTTTCAATGAAGCAGATTTGTCTCAATTCAAGTTAAGTCTGTTTCTTGAAACAAGACGATTCATCTTTTACAAATAACACAGCAGCTTAAAAAACTGTCAAAATGTCAAAAAAGCTTGTTTCATCTGAGATATGACTCAAAACAAGATATTTTTAAGACAGTTTCACTTAACAAGATATTCAAGATGCACTGTCTAAAAACAAGCTCCTGTATCTTACTTAAATCTTGGTCTTTAGGTAATTTTGTCTTATATTAAGTGAGCTGAGATATTTTGACTAGAAATTAGAAAAATATACTTGGCAAGATTTTGAGTTTTTGCAGTGTACTGCTAAACCATGACCACCATGTGTTTTAAGAAAGTAAAGTACTTTATTTTTATTAACGATATTTACAGCTTATCGAAATGCTCTGTTCGTCGTTTACCTTAATTTACCCCTCATTCAATCGGCAAACCTTCTTTATAATGGCGACGGTTGTTGAAGTGGGAATCCTTGAAGTGCTTCAGGTCACTAACGTACATCCAACAACCCAACATTTTGACTTGCCCTCTCGTAACTTCTGCATCATTGAGCTCGGACTACAAAATCGGAGCGAGAAATAATAATGGCGGATTGGTCGAAGTGTTGGACCGGTAGTCGTGTTGTCCTTGTTTTGCTGCAAATACTGTGACGTGATAGTTCAAAAAACGTCATAGAAAACAGAAAAATCTCAACAGGTTGAAAAATATGACCAAAACAGAATATAAAGATATAAACGAAGAATAATTTCATCTTTTCTGTACTTATAAACACTCCAAATATACAACAAAATGCATTTAAGGGCTAAAAAAGTGGATTTTGCATGATATGTCCCATTTAACGCATCTTGATTCAAGATTTTTTTTTATATTTGGACTGTAAAATTTGACAGAAAGTTAAAGATGACACACTGTTGAAGGTGAAGTGTGTTTCATCAATTAGTTGCTTGATGCAACCACAACAAACCATGTGTGGAAGAGCCACAAAACCCTATAAATGACCGCACACGCTCACCTGTTCACTGCAGGAATTAAGAGCGCCGGTCCCGTCAGGACTATGAGGATAAATGAGAACCAACGCCGGGTGATTTAAAGGGGAAGTCTGGTCGCGCGCCACTGCGAAATGACTCAGATTTATGCTCTGCGAGCAGCGTTTAACGATGATAGAGTTTGGACACTTCATTTCTGTCACTGTGGGATTGGCTCGCGCGCCGCTAATGATGGTAATATATGTTGTGGCTGCAATCCCTCTCCATCTCGGTTTAAGCGCTCCTGTTGTTGGGCATATTGCATTACGAGCGGACGGAAAGACGCGTAATGGATGCGTTCGTTCATTTCCAGAAACGCGCTGACGATGTGAATGTCGTTCTGTTGCAGGCGATTGTGACTTCGAGAAACCCTTCACTTCCTGCGGATACACTCAAGGACGAGACGACGACCTCGACTGGGAACAGGTCGACACCGGTGAGAGGCCTTCGCTGGACCCGTGGATGCCACCCGGTGAGACACACACACACACACACACGTTTGCTAAAAAAATGCTGGGTTGTTTCAACCCAATTTTGGGTCGAATAGCCTGTGGACAAACCCAATTGTTGGATTAAAAAAAAATTTAATTTATAAAATTAACCCACACTGTAAAAAATATTTTCAAGATTTGTTATCACAACATATTTTCTTTTGTCAAATCAACTTTATAATAATTTATTTAGTTGAGATAACTTATTATTTTGAGTTTCTGATGGTTAAATTAATCTACCTCATTGTATTAACTCACTTTTTCCAGTTCAATCAACTTAAAATAACCCAGGTTAATTACTTTTTTAAGTTAAACCAACACATTTTTTTACAGTGTAGTAATCACAACATTTGTCAAATCAACTTAAATAATTTATTTAGTTCAGATAACATATAATTTTGAGTTTCTGATGGTTAAATTAATGTCCTTCATTGTATTAACTCACTTTTTCCAGTTCAATCAACTTAAAATAACCCAGGTTACTTACTTTTTTAAGTTAAACCAACAATTTTTTTTTTTACAGTGTAGTAATCACAACATTTTTTCTGTTGTCAAATCAACTTAAATAATTTATTTAGTTCAGATAACATATAATTTAGAGTTTCTGATGGTTAAATTAATGTCCTTCATTGTATTAACTCACTTTTTCCAGTTCAATCAACTTAAAATTTTAAGGCAACCAGGTTACTTACTTTTTTAAGTTAAACCAACAATATTTTTTGACAGTGCAGCAGCTGGGTTTGTCCATATTTGACCCAAAATTGGGTTAAAATAACCCAGCATTTTTTAGAGTGTAATATTGATCTTTCTGGCCGTTCATTCGTTGTGATTTTGACATGTTTTTGAAGGAGATGTGAGTGGCGTTTGCCTTGCTGAAACCGCTATGGGTTAAAAACAACCCAATGGCTGGGTAAATATAGGACAGAACACATGTTGGGTTAATTTTACCCAGCAAATTGGGTTATTTAACCCAGCATAATGGGTTGATTTATTATTACAATAGAACTTGCTTTTCACTCAAACTATATCACTCAAACCTGGGTTAAAAACAACCCAAGGGCTGAGGAAATATATTTGCTCTTGTTTTAAACACAAACTCAATTCATTTCGATACATTTTCCAACCTTAATATCTTCAGTCACTTTGCTTCTTCTCCAGTAAACGTCTCTTGATTTCTTGATCTGGAACAGAAGTAGGCCTTGAAAAGGTTTCAGTTTGGAGCAGAAAGTCATGGCATTAAATGGTGCGTACGCTGCAAACAATGGATATTTTACTGTCTCGTTTTCCAGAACAAATCTAAACATTCTTAAATCAAGATGGTTTTACTGGAGAAGAAGCACAATGCCTGAAGATATTAATTAAAAACTGTATCAGAGTTTGAGCTTTTAAACAAGAACAAATATCTGCGCCAATGGAGTCCTTTTTTAATTAAAGGGATAGTTCACTTTAAAATACATTTTTGATATGTTTTATCTTACCTCAAGGGCATCCAAGATGTAGGTGTCTTTGTTTCCACAGTATTTTCAATTTTGTTATTTTTAGGTCAAACCGTTCATATAATGGAGGTCTATGGTCACCACCTCAAAGAGCAGCACAGAGAAGTCCAAATTAAACATGATTTAATGACTTAGACACGCCTAAGACACGAAACGAGCGGTTTGTGTGAGAAAACCAACAGTGTTTATATCGTTTTTACCGTGTAATCACAGCCACTGACGGCACGGGCGCTTCGGTCTGGAAGTGATCGCTCGCGCGCGGACGTCACTCTTTGTTTATACAGAGATACTTTCACTAAACATATTTAGATATACGGGAAACCGCAATGGAAGACGATTTCGGGATATCTAAATATGTTTAGTAAAAGGTAAAACTTCCGAAATCTCCGTGTAAATATTGAGTGACGTCACACGCGAGCGATCACTTCCGGCGTAACATTGAACTGATTCAGTTCGGTTCAGTTCAACTGATTCAGATCACTGTGATTACACGAGGTAAAACGATATTAATACTGTTGGTTTTCTCACACAAACCGCTCGTTTCGTGTCTTAGGCCATCAGTGTGTACTTACATTTACGAGTCATTAAATCATGTTTAATCTGGACTTCTCTGTGCTGCTCTTTGAGGTGGTGACCATAGACCTCCATTATATGAACGGTTTGACCTAAAAATATCAAAATTGAAAATACTGTGGAAACAAAGACACCTACATCTTGGATGCCCTTGAGGGAAGATAAAACATATCAAACATTAATTTCAAAGTGAACTGTCCCTTTAAGTTTATTCTTCTGACTCCATTGGCAGATGTTTGTTTCTATAATGATTGACTCGTGTGGCATTCGATGTGATGCCGCATTCATCACCCACTGAATTAAAGCTTGTAATCTGGTTCTGGCTGGTTTGCTCTTTATTGAGGAGTGTTTGAAAGAATAGAGAAGACGAATGTGAAGCGAAACCGGCGAAATGCTGGACGACCACTTTATTAGAGAGTAAAGGATGAAGAATGCCTCGTTCCTCCACTAACCGGCCCGGTTATCGCTCACATTACGGTAAAAGGCTGTAAATGTGACCAGCGCTCGATATCAGCTGGATGACTCCATTGTGCCGGTAATGGAGGAAAGACAAAAGCTCTTGGAATGAATTTTTATATCAAAACACGCAAATCTATTTTAATTAAAGCATTTTTTCCTCTCGCTGTGGCATATTGGAAGTCATTAGCATGCTCTTCCCGTATCTCTCTCTCTCTTTAATGTTGCATTGATCGCGTATGATTTGATTTGAGATGAGGACTCTGAGCTGGCGTGGGACCGACAGCAGTGTGTGTGTGTGTGTGTGTGTGGGACTCTGGGACTGACAGATCCTCAGGAATCAGACTAATGGAGACGCTGCGCCGAAACGCATTGGGGAACGCCTCAGGCGTGACCGGTGTCTGAATCACGCCAATCCTATTGACCTGAGCCAACGCCTATGATGTCATCATCGTGCGACCCGGAAGTATAAAAGGGGCACCTTGCAAACATGACATTCATCTCCTCGTCTTCAGGGATTGTGATGAGGTTCCCAGAAGGACATTGGATCCCCTCGAGAGGAGTGTATTTGATTGTAATTATTTAAATTGCATTCAAAATGCATGTATTCAAACGGTTAATTCTATAATTAGGAGTTTTTAATGTTTATTTATTTATTTATTTATTCAAAAGGGACGATGCATATTGATAGACATCTTAGTTTTTCAGCAATGTAAATATGCCAGAATTATCCCCAGGGCTACTTTCCATCTGCAGTCCCCCGTCAGGTCATCACAAACAACACATAACAAAGCTCACATTTAAGTTTAAATAAGATGCGAACATATTACAAAAGACACCACTGTTTTCAGACAAATTACACATATTCAATAAAGTGCTATTCTGTGTACTTCAAATACATTGCAATTATGCTAAAATACTAGAATTACAATAAGTGCTGGATCTGATTGTTTCTGAACCAGCATTTATTGTAATTTCTGATCCAGCATTTATTGTAATAAGTGCTGGATCTGATGTTTTTGGAAAGAAGTCTCTTCTGCTCTACAGGACTGTGTTTATTTGATCAAAAATACAGTAAAAATAGTGAAATATTATTGTAATGTAAATCATCTGTTTTCTATGTGAATAAATGTTAAAGTGTAATTTATTCCTGTGATTTTCAGCATCATTACTCCAGTCTTCAGTGTCACATGATCCTTCACAAATCACTCTAATATGAGGATCTGATGATCAATAATAGTGAGTTGATAAAATAGAAAACTGTGTTTTTAAACTGTTTTTGCAGTATTTTTGATCAAATAAATGCAGCTTTGGTGAGCAGAAGTGACAAAAATTGGAATTATTCCAAACGTTTGACCACACTCTTAGAAGAAATGGTTCTGTTTAGAACCAGAAATGGTTCCATCCCCCGCTTCATATATGGAACACCCTAAATGGTTCTATATAGAACCATTTTTTTTTGGTAAAAGTTTCTATTGGCCAAGTATGGAACCCCAGGGTTCTATATAGAACCCAGAGGAACCCTTTTTTAAGAGTGTATAGCATAAACATACAGTATACACTAGACCTCACCTTGGATACGGCAGTTCATTGGAACGAATGCGTCAATAGAGCCGCCATCTTGAAACAGGGGAGCTCCTCCACTTTAATGCATCAGCGTCAATGTAGTAGACACAGGTCTAACGGAAATAAAATCACCATAAATCATCATGAATGCGATTTTTCTTGTTTTTTTGGTTTGTTCCAACGGTCATATAGCTGCACTGGTCTGACGAAATAAAGGCCACGCTTCATACAGATGTCTTTGTCGTTTATTTCGTACATATCTCTCTCTCTCTCTCTTCAGTTGACACCATAGACACCGTGAAAACTACAAAAAATGAAAACATATATTCAAAATATGCATTTCTCAGTCCTTTGCAAGTTTCTCGTGCCAATGTCCCATGATATGAAAGTGAATCACAAAAGAAATATGACGAATCCAATCAACATCATGAAAAACACATCACATCATGCATGTAGAATAATATAAAACATTATAAACATTATGAAATATATATAAAGGTAAATTACCGTGTGCGCCTCTCAAACCATGCAGATTAAGCAACTCTTTTCAGACCACATGTCATTTCTCTGCATGTTCGTTCTGACCCAAAGTGACGCAGAACCGCTACAAACTGAACCGGGTCATGTGACATCACGTTTTCTATGTAAATCCTCCTTAAAGAACCCCTAACTTTAAAACGCCTAAGGCATTTTACATACATTTTAAATATCCGCTTCTAAATATCACAATTGTATTTAAATGAACTCAAATTTACATCAATTTATAAAAAGAAACAAATACACATCTCAACAAATACTTGTCCTTAGACAGTTACAAGACAGACATGTATTTATCATTGATTCCAGAAAGAAATTTTTTTTTTTTTTAAACATTCTTCCTAGATCAGATTTCATCCGTGAACATCATACGCTGCTCAAAAGTCCGCCACCATCAATGAATTCGAAGTAAAGGCAGAGATAGCAGCGTTACCTAGCTACTTCCTATGACAAGACCCCTGTTCCAAGATGGCGGCGGTTTTGACGCATGCTTAGAACCCCAAGGTGACGTCTAGTGTATATGTCTATGAGTGTATAGAACCTTTTAGGGGTTCCAAATATGTAGCGCTGATAGAATCTTTTAAGGTTCTAAATAGAACCTTTTCTTCTAAGAGTGCAGAAACAATCAAATACTTTCTCTTCCATCAGAAATGAAAAACAAACAAAAACTGTAAAAAAAATATTTTCAAGATTTGTTATCACAACATATTTTCTTTTGTCAAATCAACTTTATAATAATTTATTTAGTTGAGATAACTTATTATTTTGAGTTTCTGAACAATCAAATACTTTCTCTTCCATCAGAAATGAAAAACAAACAAACTTATCTAGTCAAAATTATACAAAATACAGCTTTATGTGTGTATGAAACTTTAACTCTGACTGTTGTCTGGTGTGACTGAAGTTAGTTTTTGAGTTTAGATTAGTTAGCGAGTGCATTAAAGGGTTAGTTCACCCAAAAATGAAAATTAAGTCATTAATTACTCACCCCCATGCTGTACCAACCCCGTAAGACCTTCGTTCATCTTCGGAACACAAATAAAGATATTTTTGATTGAATCTGAGAGCTGGATCAGTCCTACATAGACTGCCTAAGGGACTGGCTCTTGACGGCCCATAAAGTCATTAAAGAAAAGGTTTAAATATTCCATGTGCCTACAGTGGCTCAACTATAAGTTTATCAAGCGACGAGACTACTTTTTGTGTGCGAAAAAAACATAAATAACGACTTTATTCCACTATTCCATTACTTCCTTATGGGCGCATGCGCGAGAACTGAGACAAGGACGTTCTCATTCGTCTACTTCTTGTTACCGGCTGCTCACCGCTTAGGGGTTTTACCGCCATCTACCGTATAAGATGATGTGCTGATATTTACAAGCAGAGGAAGATGCGCGTTGTACATACGCTTTTCAATTAGCATATTTTCCGCACTATAAGGTGCACTTAAAAGCTTTTAATCTTCTCAAAAAACGACAGTGTTCCTTATAATCCGGAGCGCCTTATATATGGATCATCATCTTATACAGTAGGGGGCGGTAAAACTCCTAAGCGGTGAGCAGCCGGTAACAAGAAGTAGACGAATGAGAACGCCCTCGTCTCAGTTCTCGCGCATGCGCCCATAAGGAAGTAATGGAATAGTGGAATAAAGTCGTTATTTATGTTTTTTTCGCACACAAAAAGTAGTCTCGTCGCTTGATAAACTTATAGTTGAGCCGCTGTAGGCACATGGAATATTTAAACCTTTTCTTTAATGACTTTATGGGCCGTCAAGAGCCAGTCCCTTAGGCAGTCTATAGGACTGATCCAGCTCTCAGATTCAATCAAAAATATCTTTATTTGTGTTGCGAAGATGAACGAAGGTCTTACGGGGTTGGAACAGCATGGGGGTGAGTAATTAATGACTTAATTTTCATTTTTGGGTGAACTAACCCTTTAAGAGTCCGAATGAATGCTAAATGTTTATCTGATGAAAGCTGGGTCCTGCCGATGGCGGATCAAAGCATCAGGTCGCATTAGCGAGTCACGCGTCAATCGCTCATGAATCTCAAACATGCGTTCGGTATCGATCACGCCGGATCACATGATCTGATCATTAAGAGCCCATGAGCACACGAGATCACAGCAGCAGAATGTCAACATCTCCGTCTCCTCCTCCTCCTGTAAGTCTCGGTGACGTGCTGCACTTGAACATCGTATAGATCGTTTAATGCGAAATGCATTTCCTGGCCAGTTTGAAACAAAAGAAGAAATGCACTAAATAAATGATGAATTATGCATCTTAATTACTGTAAAATCCCCCTCGCAGCGTCTTCAGGGTTCGTGTCTCTGGATTTATATGAGACTCGCCTCCATGTGTCTCACAGCAGAGGATTGTGGGAGAAGTTAAAGAACCCTCTCATTAATGAGTTTCTCTCCTCAATACTGAATCAATCATAACTCAGAATATGATGATTCTCCTGAGTCCTGCCTGTAGATGTGTGTGTGTGTGTGTGTGTGTGCGCCCGCAGACGTGGACGAGACCAAAGACTTGAGCTCCAGCTTCGTTCACAGCGCGCTCGAGGACCACATTCAGATGCAGGGAATTATAACTCTTATTTAATTTATGCAACTTTTTTTTGCATATTTTTACTCCGGATATACTTCAAATATTGGCTTTCTTGAAGAAAAAAAATGAAAAAATGATGTCTGTCTCGTTATCCTGCACAAACATCTACACATTCGTAAATCAAGAGAAGATGATAAGTCGTGTTTTCTGAAACTTACTTAAAAAAATAACAAATATCTGCTAATGGTGTCAGAAAAATAATCAATTTAAAGATTGTTTTTCTGACCCCATTGGCAGATATGTGTTATTCTTTTAAGCATTAAACATGCAAAAATAAATAAAAAACTCATATAAATGAATTTAAGAAACAAAATAATACATCTACAGTACAGTACATTAATATACTAATCAGAAAAAAATAATAATGTAACAAAATAGATAGTGTTAACCCTCAAACCGTATTCATTTTATAGCCCTTAATCCCGTAATTGTGGACAAATGTGGGCACAAAGGACTCAGGTGTGATCCTAATTTTTATGTATTATAAATGTTATATCACTGTCTTCGATAAAGTTTTGTCTATCCATTTATGGTGTTTTTTTAAATTTTGGGGGTATTTTGGAATTTATATACTTCAAAAAGTACCATATTTTCTATGTAATTAAAGCTTATATTTTTATGTTTTAAATTTTAATTATTTTTAACTACATTAAAATATCATTCCAATAAGTTCTTAGAGCTAAAATCTAAAGATGAAGTGACTTTGCTGTCACCTGGTGTGTTATTTTGGTATTAAATTAACCAAAAAAAACAATAATATCAATAGCCATATATATAGTACTTAATGGCTGCATATATAGGCTTAACTCTATGGACCACTGTATAAAATGAATTTGACCTCTTAAGTTTTTTACTATCACAAGTTAAAATTGTAATTTAAAAAAAATATATATCTGTGTTAGGTGAGACTATACAAAGATGCCAAAATATGCTTAGATAAATATAACCATGATATAAGGAAAAGACAAAGTAGTAGATCATTTATCATTCATTTCAAACTGCATGTAATACTAATTTTCACAGTATAAATTTGTTTTATACATGAAAATACAATATATAGCTTTCATTTTGAATTTTGGGTCTTTCGCGTCAACATCAAAAAAGGGAGCAGATACATGTAAGAATATTATTATATTATATTATATCCATCTGCTCCTTCTGATCATGGAAATGTAAAGGAAATTTCAAATGAATTGTATGTGATTGGTAAAAAATAATGCATTTTATAAAAAGAATAAAGCTAAAGCTAACATTTATATTTAACATTTTTTTTTAGACATCATCATCATCATCCTCATCTGATGTGCGTTCCCCGAACGTCACATGACTCTCTTACTCTGCTCCATTTACAAACATAATTTGATTGCATTTCTGCAGATCCATTTGGAGACGTTCTCACACGGCCTATTAAGAAATCCAGAATATTCGTCTCTCAAGATCAAAAGCGGCGAAATTCGTACTTTTTTTTCCTAATGAAGCCTCGTCTGGAATGTTATTTGTTTTTACGGGCTCATTAACTGAATTAAGCGTTCTGCATACAGTAGCGCGGCGCTTCATCCCCCCCGCGGACGCCAAACATCCCTCCTGTTGTTCAGAGACACTTTATTCTGTCATGGAGACTGAAGGACGGAGGAATTAAATCAGAACTTCAATCACATCAGCTAAAGATGACGTCCCGCGGGAAACAGCCACAACATCACGCTAATTGCGTTTGCCGCATTTGCAACTTTGTGCGAATGTTTGTGATGTCAGAGGGAAAGTCAAGCGGGACACAGAGACGCGCTTATATGATTATAGGGCAGCGCTCATGCTAACTTCAGCTGACGATACAACACTGTTCAGTCTGATGAATACAAACTGATATTTAGCTATTTATGCTAACATGAATTTCCTAATCGCTGAATATTTCCTCCTTAAAACCAAAGACAGTCTCAAAAACACGCTTTGAAATCGCTGGTGTTTCTGACGTCACAAACCACCAATCAGATCAACGTGTGATCGTCGAGTGAGTGAGTGGAGGCGGGGCTCATTTGCATATTCATAGAACCGCGCATACTAAATGAGGCGTGTCGAGCTACACTAAAGATGGACATTGCGAAACATTTCTCGAGAAAAAAACTTTTAAATGTGTAATTTTGGGGATCAAATGATGGACTACAGGAGGACTTTAAAGGGATAGTCCACCCCAAAAATGAAACTTAACCCGTAAGACATCCTAGCTGTAATTTACTTTGTTTTCAGCCGAACACAATCAGAGTTATATTAATAATATCCTGGCTCTCTCATAAATGTAATCCATGGGTTGATAACGGCCGGATGAAAGAGAAGCGATGCGTTTTTGACAAAATCCAAAACAAGTGGTTTTCTGAGCTCGGCTCCAGATCTGAAACGTATGATATTTTTATAGCACAATAACCTCTGATGTGTC